AAAAAACATAAGTTTCGTTCAATATGGAGTCTACTCAAAATTTTGAATTAAAACGTGAAAGTAGTGTTTTGGAACATTATAAAACATATGCACTTCAGACTGAGGCTGCAAGTTTAAAAACAAAACAACGTTGTTTTTTGTTTTTCCGTTTTTGCATACAACAAGTTATTCTCCGTATCAATTTTTGTTTGTAATCATGGATGATCTAATAAACTAAAACATGACATTCTTCAAAAAATTACGGAGTATGACTTTATATAATGTTTGGTTTACCTAAATAGGATTATTTATTCCATTTTTACTCTTAACTTAATTAACTAATTAACCTAATTAATTGCCCCCTAACTCCTTTACATAATCAAGGTCAGTATGCTGGTAGCAAGTAGGGATGGATTTGGACCGGTCAGGACCCGGTTCCGGTCTCGGAAGTCGGAACCACCGATCCCGGTTTTTGAAATGGAAGACCGGAACTGACCCGGTTTTCCACGAACCTGGTTCCTGTCCGGTCTACCTGGCCGGTCCCAGTCCAGACCCGATTCCGGCCTGGTCCTTTTTTTTTTTAAATTATTGGAAAATAAAAAAATGATGTGTATTTATCATAAACACTACATTGTCACTTGTATCAATATCACATTTGAAAATTACAATTGAAAATACTTTAAAGTTGATAATTACATTAATGATTATAGTGTGTATATATATATTTCGTGTGTATATATATGTATGTATATATATATATATATATATATATTAATGTATAACAATTACTTAATTGTACAATGCGAAGTAATGTAGGAAGTAATTAAAAAATGTAGGAAGTAGGAACTAGTTAACTATATATATATATGTGTGTGTGTGTGTGTGTGTGTGTGTGTGTGTGTGTGTGTGTGTGTGTGTGTGTGTGTGTGTTAAATATGAAGGTGTAGGAGTCTATAAATATAATTGTAAGAGTATAATATACTACCTCCGTCCCAAAAAACTTTGTCATTTCAAAAAATTTGAACATTTATTTTGATTAGTATAATAGTATGGAAATTATAAATTTTATACTTTTATGAAAGTACTTTTGACAAAGAACATTTTCATATAATTTTTATATTATAAATAATTTTCAATAAAAAGATATAGTTAGTCAATGTTTTGAAAATGACAAAGTTTTTTGGGACAGAGGTAGTATTTAATAAGAAAGATTGAAAGAGTAGGAGTAGGAATGTAGAAATAGAAATTATAAATATTTATATAGTATTATTGTGTAATTAACAAAAATGTAGGAAGTAGGAACTAGTTAACTACAAATGTATATAATTAAATATATATGTTAAATAAGAAAGTGTAGGAGTATAAAAATATAATTGTAATATAATATATTTAATAAGTAAGATTGAAAGAGTAGGAGTAGGAATGTAGAAATAGAAATTATAAATAGTTATATAGTATTATTGTGTAATACGTAGTACTAAACAAGTATATAAATATAATTATAATATGAGAATATATGAATTATAAAAGATCAAAATGTAAATGTGAATAGAGTAGAATTAGTGATTGAGAAATTAAGAATTGAGAGTAGAATGTGAGTAGAGATAGAATAGTGTGAAAAAATATATAAAATGAGTAGGTATTTATAGGAAAAAATTTTGGTAACTCCACCCCCCAAACCCCTCCCCATCGGCTATAATGCTGTTACTAGCCGTTCCAAATGGCTAGTTTCACACTTTCACCCCAGCCCCACCTGCCCCCCTAATTTAATTTTAAAAAAAAATTTGGTCGTTGGGACCGGAACTGGGACCAGGACCGCCCAGTCCATTCCCCAAAAACGTGACCCGGGACCGATTCCTTATTTACCCGGTCGGGTACCCGGTCCTAGATCGGAACTTGAAAACCGGACCCGATCCGGTCTCACACAGTAGTAGACCGGTTCTGAACAGGTCCGAGACTGCCGACCGGGTGCATGCCTAGTAGCAGGTCAGTCCGGTGGCAGCCACAACTTGGCATCGGCGGCGTGCTCCAACGAAGGCATCAAGATTCTGTCAATTTGCGGCAGTGACCTAGGAGAACTCCGGCGGACAGTAGCGGTTAGCAACCTGGGACAACAGTCCTCCAACCCTATAAGGATATCTTGTCTAATCACAAATAAAAAAAATCTTATTTATGGCATGATCCTGTAGCCTGCCATCCTCTTCCACTGGGTCGGGTCCCATGCCTGGTCCTGGACAACCGGGCCGCCCGGGCCTAAAGAGTGCTGGGTCGGGCCGGGTAGCGGATCCGGTAGGCGGGTCCGCCCGAGCCGTCCCAATAAGTTTTGTCTCGGACAGACAAAAAAAAAATGTCTCACAGACATGAGTGTGTAAGAGTGTGTACACAAAGTGTGTACCCCAACGAAGGCATCAAGATTCTGTCAATTTGCGGCAGTGACCTGGGAGAACTCCGGCGGACAGTAGCGGTTAGCAACCTGGGACAACAGTCCTCCAACCCTACAAGGATATCTTTTCTAATCACAAATAAAAAAAAATCTTATTTATGGCATGATCCCGTACCCTGCCATCCTCTTCCACTGGGTCGGGTCCCATGCCTGGTCCTGGACAACCGGGCCGCCCGGGCCTAAAGAGTGCTGGGTCGGGCCAGGTAGCGGGTCCGGTAGGCAGGTCCGCCCGAGCCGTCCCAATACGTTTTGTCTGGGACAGACAAAAAAAATGTCTCACATACATGAGTGTGTAAGAGTGTGTACACAAAGTGTGTACCCCAAGTCTAGTTCATTGAGTAATGTGAATGAGATCAGTAATACATGCAAGAGTGTGCTAGGTGTACACTTTTTGGTGTATACCTTTCATACACTTGTCTGCAAAATTTGTTAAAGCGAAAAGCGTTCAAAAGCGTTGAGTTCGGGCTTTGCTTAAAAGCAAAAGCGCTACTAAGTGAATCGTAGCTTTCTCACAAAATGTGATGCTTATAAAAAATTAAATAAAAAAATACATATAATGTATAATTAAACCAAATATGCATAAGTAATAAAGTCATTAATAATTATAACTAATAAGATTTTAAAGTTCATTCAAAATAACATATTTAATTACCAAACTTACAATAATGTCATAAAATAATGGAAATGGTGAGTTAAAAATGACATCATAGAAATTGTTTTTCCCCCTAAAATTCTAAGTTTTTTACTGATGAATGCAAAAGAGAGCTGTTAATGGTAATATTTAAACATTATTTGATATAAAATGGTAATATTTAAACATTATTTGATATATTAATATAATCCAAAGTAAAATATACATACGATTATGCTTGAAATAAAAATTCAAAACTATATGAAAAGTAAAACTTCACCAAGAATAAGGGAAAATTTTGATTTTAAATAATTAAAAACATTACCTAAAACAAAGAAAACATGGTAAAATTCTTGGGAAGAAGTAATTTCGAGCCTAAGGCCCTAAAAACATTAAATAAAAAAAATGGAATATATCTGGAATCCACTCAAAGTAGGGAGAACTACCAAATAAGCATTCGAACTTTCATAAAAAGTGCAAATAAACCCTTTTATAGGAGTCTCTATCCGGCCGTCGCCATTTGGGATGGTTTCTAGTGGAATTTTTTGATGAAGTTTTTTGAGAATCTTCTTCATTAATTCTAATTTACTCATACCAAATGTCAGCTAAAATTTCAACCGGGAAAGCAGTCAAATGAATTTTTGAAGATAACTGCGCGATTAGATAGCGCAGTATATTTCAGAAAATCATTTGACTGCCTTCTCGATTGAATTTTTAGCTGAAATTTGGTATGGGTAAACCAGACTGAATGAAGAAGATGCTAAAAAAATTTCATAAAAAATTTCACCAGAAACTGCCCCAAATGGCGACAGGCGGACAAAGCCTCCTGTGAAAGGACTTATTTGCACTTTTTATGAAAGTTCGAGGGTCTATTTGATAGTTCTCCCACTCAAAGTAATACTTCGTAGGGAGTATGTAGTCCTCTCAAAGAGACCAAAACTTTGGAAGTCCAGAGTTTGGAAGCCACTCAAAGTTGTCTCCCTACTTAAGCATGTCGACGCAAGCTGAGGGACATGTGGTCGCAAATAAGAACGCAGAGCAACGAGAAGGAAAGAGTCGTGGTGCGTGGAAAGAGTCGAACGATGATAACCCTAACTTCTAGCGTTAAGCTCATAAAAGTAAAACTAAAAAAATTGACTAGTCAAAGACCACCGGGGAAGGCACGATCTGCGTACCAGTCATTCCGTACCCAAACACGATACGAAATCGATCTGATCGCATACGGGAACGCTAAACGGTACGGAGGTTGAGTCGATCCCAATCGCTCATCCCAATCGCTCTTCCCAATCGCTCATCCCAATCGCTCTTCCCAATCGCTCTTCAATTCGATCCCAAACGTTGTTCAAAGCGATTTTATTCGCCGTTTCCCATCTTTGCGCAGCTTGAGTCGTCGTTTCCCGCCATTTGCCCAGATTGAATCGTCATTTCCCAAACGTTGTTCAAAGCGATTTTATTCTTCGTTTCCCTCATTGTACTAACGAGGGCAAGAATTTCGAACCAGGCTCTTCGCTTTGTGAGCCTACTAATAAATTGAGGGAAACGACAGGAAACTCTTAGTCTTCTTACGCCAAACACTTAGACTATTGGTCTACTTCTTCTACTACACCACAGTCCACCAACTTCATTAGTTTTCTCTTTTATTTCTGGAATATTATTGTTTTTTATTTCAAGAATATTAATGTTTTTTATTTTGTTTAATGTTATGACATATGATTATGAAATCTGTATTTGTTATGACTTGTAAAATCTTAAATTTAGTTTCATTATAGTATCAAAATATAAGATACCACGTACCTAACATGTGGTACAACGTACCGAACGCGTACCGAAATGAACCTATCCCCCTCCGAACCAGATGCGCTAGATCTAGCGAACCGCATTCCCGTTCCTCATTCCCGTACCGAATCGTTCCGCGAACCATGTGACTATGCGTGAGACAGACAGACGAGTGTACGAAATGTGTACACCAAAGTGTACACCAAACATTTTTCTACATGCAATACAACTCAAAATTTTTAAAGAATAAACAATTTGGAGCCACTACAGTAAGTATTAAGTTACACATAAACAAAGACAGCTACAACTTGTACATATTTTGATTTCCAAAAAACAGTTATTCCCACAATCCCACACATCAGTAATCATGTAGATATGTTTGTCCCGTTTTCTAGAGATTAGTTTCTTTGTTGAAAGAGACATGCGAGAAACTAGAGGCGGACAGAACCCTTGACCGGAAGAATGCATGAATAAGTAACATACTTGACACTGTCTATCAGCACAACAACAAAAATCCGTGAAAGAGTCTTTTTACCCATCATGTTTTCACCGCCATCAGCGGCATCTCTTGGATCAACAAGCACCGAAACAACCATCGGAAGAACTGTCCTGTTTGAGCTTATGTTTTCTTTAGGTCCACTTATTCCTACATTTTCTTCAGTCATGTTTTGGGAAGAAGCAGAAATGGGTAGGGGGCTACGAAGGACCCTTCTATTTTGTTGGCCTTTGTATGAGGTGCTTTGAGCCGGTTCAATAGATACATTCCTTGTAGAGGATGTTACTGGAACTATGGCTGATGAGGCATGAAACTGAAATACCTCAGTGCACATACCGGAGCTGAAAGTTGATCCTTCACATAAAAGATGAATAATGGTCAAGGTTCCTTTAAACTACTACATATTTAACTTCACAAAAATATTCTCCCTTTGTTCACTTTTACTTCCACCCCACCGAAGGTGTGGGAGCCTTTGTGGCACTGAAGTAATGATGATGAATGAATGAATGTTCACTTTTACTTCCCCTACTTTTCTTTTGTAGAAGTTTATTATTACTAGCTCCCTTTCCTATTTGGCTGACTTGATACTTTTTAGTCTCTAAAAGACAAAAAATCATATTTTCATCATCCTTTTTCTAATATTTCATAATTTCTTATCCTATCTCTTCAAACGTTTCTATACTATCACCCTTACAACTATTACTCTTAACTTTCATGCAGACCTATGGAAGCCAGTAATAATGAACGTGGCATGACATTCATATTGTCAATTAGTTGCCTAAATTTCCAATGGCATGAAATTCAGAGTTTTATGCTAGAGGTCCATATAGTCTCAACCTTCTTCTGAATAAACAATGTAAATGTAGGTTTTTAAAAGATTAATATTGCTTTTGCAAAAAAAAAGATTGATATGCAAAATCAAAATGCAAAGAATGGAGCATGAACCAATCAGCTAAATGAATATAAGAGAAGATTTGACTATGTACATTAGTTATAATGCTTACCAGAAAGGCCTTCTTGGAACCATTGCTGAAGCCTACCATCTGCTGATGTAAACCACTTGTAGTCCCTATCAACAGCACCTGGAACCAGGGCCCCCTCACCTTCAACAGGACCTGTATACATGTAAGGATTCCTCCTTGCAGGGGCAAAATCACCAGGAATTGCCAAACCAGTCTCTTGGCTGCTCTTTAGGGCCTTTTCACTTGCCAGAATGGAATGAATGATCAAACTACCATCAATTTTCACCAGCTTATCATTCCTCGGGACATAAAGAGAGGCTTCAAGGGATTCACTACTATTGGCCGAATAAACAGTCTTACTAAGGTCAATATGTGTCTCTCCTACATTATTAAAGCCATCACCAAAATGTTTTGCATTAGCAAAATCCAAATGGTTTCTAGTTCCATTTGCAGCTAACACCCTGACATGGTGGTTATCATAGAGTCCACTCCTCGCATAATTTCCACCCATAAATGCCTCTCTCATCCCTCCATGCCTAACCGTTATCATGGGAACTAATCCACCAAACATAAGCATAAAGAAGAGCAAGCCGATAAAACTGACACTTGCAGCCGTCTTAATCTTTCTCTCTTTCTTCTTAGTTGAAGAAATTGGTTGCTGAGGTTTCAACTTTGGGATTGGAACTAAGGGAACGTTGGAGCCATGTGGTTTTACAAAGTAAGGTGGGGCGCATGGCATCCATGGATACATAGGTGGGGCAGAATACATTCCTGGGGGTGGTGGTGGGTTCGTGGTACCAACACCAGACCCGCCTATCTGCTGCCTCAAACTGGCATTTTCAGCCATTACATATGATATCTTGGCACTCAACTCTTTAATTGTTGAATGCATTGTCCTAACCTTACCCTCTAACTCCTCAACATAGTTCTTCTTCCTTTGCCTGGAAAGCTGAGCACTTTCCCTATTTCTAAGTAATCTTGTTTTCTTCTTCTCTTCCTCTTCACTGATGACATTCGTGGTATTAGTAGTGTTGGTCTCTGTGTTCCTAATGTCAATGGGTTTTCTACATTTTCTCATTCTCAACTTTACACTATTAGATTCTCCGTCATCCTTTTTCCTCTTCAATACAGAGTTAGAATAACTGTGAATGTTATTTGTTTCCCCTGGTTTAATTGAATCAACTCCTGAGCCAGGAGAAGAATTTAAAGATTGGTTAAAACCATTGGACAGAGAATTCAGAGCTGAAGATACATTGGAGCGGGAATCACCTGAACCCCTAGACTCTGGAGAAGGACAATTAGGAACCCTAGGATCCATATGCACTTGATTTCCGTTCGCAGACTCCTGAGAATCCTTATTAGAACCATTGGATTCCGGCGATAATGCGTTCAAATTGCCGGAAAGATCGCAACTATTTGGGTGCAATTCAGATAAATCGAAATCCAGAACCCTAGAACCGCTCGAGCAAAGCCCCTGCGGTGAAGAATTCAAAAGAATAGCATCTCCATCGATCTGATCGCCCGGAAATCGACACGTTCCGGGAGAAGAGTTCTTATTATTTTCGACCAGGTCAGAACCAAGATCAGGTTGCAGGTAGCAAGCAAGGTCGGCTTGATGCACCTGTATCGGGTCACAGTGGTCAACGAGATCGTGTCGAAAATCATGATTGAGGAAACTATCGATGTCGAAGGGGAGATCGGGATCGAGATCGAGATCGTCGAAGGAAAAGTCGAGATCGAGATCGTCCATCGAGATATCGTTGCTTTGGGAGAGGTAAATGGGATCCATAGGTGGAATCGGGAGGGGGTCATCCAAATAACCCGTGGAGAGAGTGCTAGTAAGAGTGGCGTTTGACGGCGGCGCCAATGGATCGGCCACGTCTGAGTTTGCCATGCTTGAGATGTTCACGGCGAAGGATGAGAGAAGGAGACTTCTGGTCGAAGGTAATTTTTTACTATGTAGGAATGTAGGATCGTAGGCACGCAGTAAACACGCACAGTCCAGGTAAGTTAGGTGAGAATGACGGTAATTATATTAGAAATCGGGTAAGTCAAAAAAATATAACAAACCCGACCCAACCCGTCCGATGTGCAACCCTAATTGAAGTGATTGATTTAAAATATATATATATTATATTCATAAAACAAAGAAAAAATTATATGGAAAAACAGTTAAACTAATTCTCAAAAGTAATTTCAACATATTTTTTCTTATGGGTGGACAATTTAGTTTATAGTTCGGTTTTCATCAGTTTCGGTTCAGTTTCGGTTTATTCCGTTTGAAAGATATCGTACCAAACTAAAATCATTCGTGTTTCGTTTTTTTTCCGATTCGATTTATCAAAATGAAAATTTTTAGGTTCAAATTAGTTCAATCTAATTTGTCCAAGTTCGAATTTACAATCATATTGCTCATCTTAAGTGATTTTCCTTTTCAAATATGATCTAATAATCTTAATGTCACAATATCACTTTTATCCATTCGTATACACTCAATCTCATTCAGTTTGGTATGCTTACTATTTTATTTGATCAAGTTCTTTATATCAGAATTAGAAAATAAAATAGTAGTCCATCAATCTTCACGTATTCATTACTACACATTTGAATAAAATGCAAAGGAGATCAGAGAGAGAAAGAAAGAATAAAATATTATAAATTGACATTTATTTTATCTTACTAGAAGTGATGACATGAAAACGCCTAACATCTTTTCAATGATTTTAAAAAAGATTCACATCTAATAAGAAATAATTTATAGTTGATTAACAATTATAATATCATATTAAGAAATATTCAAAGAAAAATAAATGAGTAGGCGGTAACAATGTATACGAAACCCATTTATTTGCATATAATCCCTGAGATGAAGCTCTATTTTTACGGAAGTATGGAAGGGTGAAATTAAACGGAGAAGCATCGTCTAAATGTCTCTAAATGCATAACGAAACTGATGGAGTTATGGGACTAGGCCCAGAGCCTAATCGGCCCAAGCCCTGAACTTGGACCCGTGGATCCAGGTCCACAACCTAGAGCCTGCCTACCATCCCAACGGGGAGTCTGCCAGTTTGGCCGACCTGCCAGCCAAGAAAAGTAATAGTCAAGCAATTAATGCACGTTTAATTATGTATTTAATTCTGTATTAATGTTGTAATTAATTAGTCATTATTATCGGTAGGGGTTACGAATTGTATACGCCTATAAAAGGCACTTTGTAATTCAAACTAAGGAGGCAAATTCTACAGGCTATTTCTGGCTACCAAATCCCCTTTGCAACTTTCCATATTCGTGTTTTCCTAATTCCTGCTTGAGTGTCGTACGTAGCTTTTCTAAAAGTCTACGCGCGTCCTATTTTGGACCAACATTGGTGCTTTCATTGAGAGCCTCTATTGATCTCTCACATCACTTTAGTAGGAAAAAAATCAAGAAATTCATCCCAATCCAAGGTGCTACAGTCCCACTTCCTGCTGTTCTCTTCGCCGATCACAGCTGGATGTTGTGCGCCGACGTCGCTGCTGGTCTCCCTCATCGCCACGCCTATTCATGAGATAGGCCTTCAAATGTGCGCCCACATAATTCCCATGGAGCAAGAATCTGCTCTGCGTTAAAGTGAATGGGCCAAGATTACACTAAGACCAAAATTGATTCTCCTCAAGGATGACGACGGACTGCATTTTCAGCAACTCATTCGGGCCCGTTTGGTTCTAAAGCTAAGTTTTCAAATATCCTCTATGTTTGATACAAAAAAAATCATAAATTAAAACATTTGAAAAGATATTTTAAGTGATATATTGCGTTTACTCTTGTTAAGTGTGTGTAATTTTAACATTGAACAACGGACTTATGAAATCTGATCATTCAAGTACGCCGGACGAGCACACACACTCGTACACTGGCCGAGCACACACACTCGCGCCACCGGGTCACGTCATATGGGTGTGACGATTAATAAGCTCCAATATAAATGTTGATACCGCACACTCTTGACTTCATACGAGTTCTTGTGTGCTCTTACCTCTTCCTAGTGCATCACACTCCGACCTCGGGGGACGAGTCACCCGTTCAAAAGTTTTTACTTGCGGGTTCGAACTACTAACCTCGGGCGGCGAGTTAAAGTCTTGCTAGAGGGCCTAGAACCATGTTCTCCCGAGCAATTTTGTCACTTAATTGACATTCACATTTCCAGAAAAGGTTGATATACTTTAGTTCACTGAGCTTGGATTATCCATTCGAATGGTGACTCCGAGTCACTTACTCGCGGATTCAATCTTTCTTTCGGAGACTGGGTTGAGGCCTAACTTGGGAACTTGATGTCACTCTTCAAGTAGTGAGTCTGACTCGCTTACTCACTGAACCATGGTTCAGAACCGGGTCAGATGCTCTATTTTACACTTGTTGTTTTATGTGTAGGTACAACTGAACGAAGACGAGCCTGATGAGTCTGAGCCCGATGAGAAGAACGGTTCTAGCCATCCTCTTTGCTGATGGTGACCATTGCAATAAAGGCTGAAGATTTCACCCTTTGTTTCATCTTGGGGGCATCAGGTGTACTCTTTTTTCCTTCATTAGGATTTTTTCCCATTGGGTTTTTTCCTAATGAAGGTTTTTAATGAGACATCTCCCCAACATGGACAAGGGCACATATCTTCGAGTCTCGGAGAAGGCAGCTGACTTGGACTACTCCCTCTTAGCCGAGTCTACTACTCGACTAAGGGAGTGGGGGACTCGTGATGGAGTTATGGGACTAGGCCCAGAGCCTAATCGGCCCAAGCCCCGAACTTGGACCCGTGGATCCAGGTCCACAACCTAGAGCCTGCCTACCATCCCAACGGGGAGCCTGCCAGTTTGGCCGACCTGCCAGCCAGGAAAAGTAACAGTCAAGCAATTAATGCACGTTTAATTATGTATTTAATTCTGTATTAATGTTGTAATTAATTAGTCATTATTATCGGTAGGGGTTACGAATTGTATATGCCTATAAAAGGCACTTTGTAATTCAAACTAAGGAGGCAAATTCTACAGGCTATTTCTGGCTACCAAATCCCCTTTGCAACTTTCCATATTCGTGCTTTCCTAATTCCTGCTTGAGTGTCGTACGTAGCTTTCCTAAAAGTCTACGCGCGTCCTATTTTGGACCAACAGAAACAAAGAGAACGTTGCGGTGCTATATTCTCCTCAATTTTGCTTAGGGCAAAAGTTGTGGCATGTTAACTCTTTAAATTATATTTGATGGTCATGTATCATCAATTTAGAACAAACGGCCTCAATTGCAGTCCATTGTAGTATAATTGAATGTGTGCTTATTTTTGCAATCGTAGAGAGACATGTTTGATGGTCATCATTCATTGGGTTTATTTGGGCGTGACAATGATAACATTATGACTCCATATTGGCAACATACACCAATTGGAATGTGAAAATCATGCAACCAAGTTTCAATCTATGTAGCACGGAAATTCTAGGGAAAGAGTATGTTTCCTGTTTCGAAAACTTTCAGAAACTCTTTGAAAACTCTCTAAATAAGCGTTTTTTGAGCAAAACTTGATGTTTTCCCGTTTCCGGTTTTCTCACGATTTTTGCGTTTCCATGCAACATAGCTTTCAATAGCATAGTTTTTTGTTAAATCAAGTTTCTATTAAGTCTAGGAACAACATATTTCTCTGTATATTTCATTCTGACTAGTCTTTTGTCATTTCATAGCTTAATGGTTAAAGCTCATTGAAAAGCTTTTCTTAAGCCAAATCATATTTTTTTTAGATTAAGCAAACACATGGCCTAACAAATAATGATGTGTACAACTGGCTATACTCATTTTTAGAACTCTCATTTTCGGCTTATTGAACGGTTGGAACGTTAGAGGGGGTATTCCAATATAACACCGCTATTGGCCTATTGCCAACGCTTCACTTCTCCCCATTAAATCAATCATGAGTTGTTTTCTTCGCTTGGATAGTTTTGTTCATCGACTTCATTCTTGAAGTGAACTATCAAATAAGTCCTCGAATTTTCATAAAAAATGTCAATAAGCCTTTTTATAGAAGACTTTATCTGGCTGTCGCCATTTGGGGCGGTTTCCGGTGAAGTGTTTTGATGAAATTTTTTAGCATTTTCTTCATTGAGTCTAGTTTACTTATACCAAATTTCACCTAAAAATTCAATCGGGAAGGTAGTCAAATGAATTTTTGAAAATAACTTCGCAGTTAGACAACGCAGTATATTTCAGAAAATCATTTGACTGTCTTCTCGATTGAATTTTTAGCTGAAATTTGGTATGGGTAAACTAGACTTAATCAAGAAGATGTTAAAAAAATTTCATCAAACAATTCCACCGGAAAACGTCCCAAATGACGACATACGGACAAAGTCTCATGTAAAAGGGCTTATTTACATTTTTTATAAAAGTTCGAGAGCTTATTTTATAGTTCTCCCATTCATTTACTATTTTAATGTATGTGAATATGTGATGCGTCAGCTTAAATTGTACACTTTTGCATGTCATAATCTTAAATTGTCCACATAAACATTACGGTAGTCGAACGTTTATAACATAGATACAAGCATATATACCACATGTTGTAATGACAA